ATTTGTACCACAGACTTGGGGCACATGGAAGGAGACCCAAAGATGTGGATGAGAGATCCATGGGGAGGCTAAAAATGGCAGCCTTCATCTTGACTGGATTTTGATTTTGCTCTTTGCTTTCCAGACTTGCCTGGCCTCTTCTGTCCCTTTTCTATGCGTCCCTACCAGAAGGTGCCTTAGCCTTTTGTCAAACTTTTGAGGCTCAGCTGCCCTGCTCTGCTTTGGGCCAACCCTGTTTGGCTTGGCATTTGCCCGCAGGATAAGTAACATTGAGTACTTCGTTTGGAAACTATATATTCTCTCTCTCTCTCTCTCTCTCTCTCTCTCTCTCTCCTCTTTACTGCACATCAATTATTGCACACTAATTGCATTAAAGTTCTTTTATACTGAAGGTCTCAGACACTATAATTTCATGCAGTGGATAGCAGAACCTATTTAGAGTGTGCAGGTTTGGGGGGCCTGGGATGCCCTCCTTCTGCCCTATAACAGTCTTAGGGCAACAGATTGCAAATCAGTGTGCTCTCTTCTACAGCTGATGCTGAAAACGCACCTCTCCTATATCTATGTCTTTCTTTGCCTGAAAATACTGAAGAACTGGTAGGGGGAGGTTTTTACAGGCCTAGGTTCCTGGTCATTACACCAAAAATCTGACGTCGTTTTTTTCTTAATAGTGGATTATTCCTTTATTAATATGTGCAAGCCTAAATAAACTAATTCTTAAAAAGGGCTGGCTAGGAAACAACAGTTTCTTCCTGATCTTAGCACTATTCAATGTGTTCCAAACATGTAAGTACCCAAAATTCATTTTTTATAGAGACCACATACAAATTTTCCTCCCTGATTAAATTAAGTAAGTATGAAGAACTCATTTATAGGTGATTTTCTTCCTGCAGGTACTAATTTCATTTATGCAATAGCAACACAAGATAAACAGAACCAGAAGACATTATGCTTTAGAAAATGGTCTAAAACAATGTCTCTCAGTCTCAGTAAAATAATCTATGGATTTTACTGCAGGGGAGGAGGAGGGAGGGGGTGAGAGGGAGGGAGAGAGGAGCACAGGGGACTGTGGTGATGGTGCACGGGTGCCTTGGGGAAGGAGATTCTATGGGGACTCAATCTGAGGGGGTGGAGGGAAGCAAATATTGTCTAAAAAATGTAAAAAATGATAAATGTTAAAATAAAAAAATAATTTAAAAAATAACCTATGGATTTAATGTAAGAAAAACAGAGAAGGAAAGTCAGGTTATTAAGAGCATCTGTGTAATAGAAAACAGGTTTCTGAAACTTCCTACTTGTAGGAATGCCTTTATTCTGTTTTGCTTTGTCTAAGGAAAGGAATATTAAAGTGTCAGGAGAGCCCAGGAATTGCTCACAAGTCTGTACACTAATAAAAAATATTAAATAATCTCTCCTATTAAGTAGTTAAGTGAAAGGATGTCAGAATATGGTATTTACCATTACCCAGTGACATAAACTATCACTGCTTGATAGCTTTCTGTCTATCAACTGGCTCTCTGATGTCCTTAAGAGGCATCAGATTACATCAGTTTGGTCCTGATTTATTTACTACCCCCAAATATAAAAAATAAACTCAATCCACTTAAAATCTCACAACAATTATTTGCATATTTGTCCTCAGGGGATGATTATTCTACAAGCATAAAGCTCATTGTTATTTGGCCCCACTTACTTAACTTCTCATTAAAATTTCCTTAAGGTTATCAAGATAGCAACTTTTTATGCAATATTTATGCAAAAGGAGGAAATGTATAGGATACATGTACACCATGAGAAGTGTATAAATTAGTTACTCTTCTATTTCACTGTTAAAGTATTTAAGTAATGAAAAATGGAGCTACCATATGACCCCACAATTCTACTCCTAGGGATCTACCCCAAGGACACAAAAAACATTGATTCAAAAGAACACCTGCACCCCTATATTTATTGCAGCACTATTTACAATAGGTAAAACCTGGAAACAACCCAAATGCCCAAAAAATAGATGACTGGATCAAGAAGATGTGGTGTATGTATACACAATGGAATATTATTCAGCAATCAAGAAAGATAAACTCATGCTGTTTGCAGCAACGTGGATGGAACTGGAAGGAATTAGGCTCAGTGAAATAAGTCAGAAGGAAAAAGAAAAATATCGGATGGCTTCACTTACAGCAGGAATATAGGGGAACACAGTAAGACATCAGTGTAAAAAAATAACAACAGTACAAAACACAACAAAGCAAAAACAATTATAAATCAGAGACATCCTGCAGGGGAGGAGGAGGGAGAGGGACTGAGGTGATGATGCCGGGTGCATTGGTGAAGGAAACTCGACCAGGACTACACCTAAGGGGGTGGGGGGAATCAAATATTGTTTCAAAATAAACGATGATGTAAAAAATTAAAAATTTTTTAAATGAATTTAAAAAAATTAAGTATTTAAATAATGGCTACTATTATTTATTAACTATACGGTGTGTTAAGAATCACATCCCATGCACTAGGGGAGGCACTTTTAACTCATGACCTAAATTTCCTGGAATAAACTTGAAAGTAGGTAATGTTTGTGTGTATATGTATGTATATATACATATATGTATGCATATGTGTGCGTATACACATATGTATATGCACATATATCTCCATATACGTATATACTTATATGTACATATACATGTATGTTACGTACACACAAATGTAGTTATATATACATATGTGTATATATACATATATTGTATATGTATTCCTTTTTTTAAATCCATGTTGACCTATTTTCCCTTTGTGCAGTTCAGCAGAATTTTGGGTGTCAGAAACTGTTCACATATTTAGAAAATACTAAGTAAGCGTTTTTGGTATACACTTTGGATTTAGTATAATGTATATTACCCAGTTGGTTTCAGTTGAACTCTAATGATACTTTAAATTTCTGCAAGCTTCTTGAGGGTTGGAAAGATTTTATTCACATCTGCATGTCTACTGTGGAAGCCAGTGGGCCCACCCAGCACAAAATAGTTCCTCAATAAATAATGAATTGGCTATCTATTAATTGTTGTTTTCCTCTAAAAAGTGTCAGTTCTTAAGAATTTAAAAATTGTAGACAAAGGATTTGTCTCCAAAATGTTAGCCTTTACAGGGATCCGGGATAGGTGAGTGTGGCGGCAGATAACCTGCTGTTCTTCTGACTTGGGGACTAACGAAGACATATCACTAACTCAAGTTTGTTCCACCTGGGGGCTCCCCATACACCTGCCCGGCTCTCCTGGTCCACGAGTGGACCAACCAGTGGGAAGGTCCACAGGCGCTTACGCGGAGTGCAACATCGAAGTTCAAAGCGGTGTGTTCGTCTGCAAACAAAGGGCGGCGCGGTCTTGGGTTCTGGACCAGCTGGGGTCGCCTCAGAAGAGCAGAGCCCGGCGGCAACAAATGGACATTCCGCGAGTGAACAGACTGACACCTGATCACCCGCTCCCGGCGGCCCCACCCTCGGGCTCCAGCTGTCGGGACCACAGCCGCCGCCGGCCTCCGCGGTCGCGTCTCCACGCGTTCGGGGAACGTCTCCTACCACCAGCTTCCCGAGAACTTTCCCGTCCCTCTCTGGGTTGGGGGCCCATGCGGGGAGGGCCCGGCAGGTGGGGGTCTCTAGGGAAGTCCTTCACCGGACTTGGTGGTGGGTGGCTGTTCCTAGGAGGAAGGTCGGTCCTCTCCCAAGTACAACCCGACCTTCGTGCGCCCTGGAGAAGCCCCAAGTCTACAAGGCCACGCGGCAGTGTGGCGCTCAGCGGAGCCGGAGAAACAAAGAGAACAAGTGGGTCGGGAGGATGCTGCGCTCCCCCGCGCCCCGCCCGGCCAGCTCTCCGGCACAGTCTCGCGCGCAGGTAGCTCGTCCTCGGGCCACGAGGAAGGGTGTGTTCGAGCGGGGTACACAAAGACTCACTTCCCCGGGGTCACGCTCTCGGACTCCCCTCCCTGCCACCCAACGCCCGTTCACATTCTGGCATCCCTGCCGCCACCGGAGACCTGAGCGCCCGCTGGGCGGCAGGTAGGGAGCCAGGCTGAGCTGTGCAGGTAACCCTCGGAAGAATTAGGGCTAGCCGGTGGCGGCGGCCGGGAGAGGCGGCGGCTGAGCGGCCCGCGCCGCCCCACGCAGTCCAAGTCTGCGATCACTCCCTGCCAGAAGCTGGGCTCTGCGCGCTCCACCAGCGCCCCGCCCGCGCTGGCCGGCGGGCTGGGCAGCCGGGCCGGGGGCGCAGGAAGCGGGCTTGGGCAACTTCCCAGTGCCTAGCGCGGGTCCGCTAGGTGAGCCCAGGCCGGAAGGGGTGGGGGAACCGAGGTAGAGGCGGAGGGAGTGGGGTTTCGCGCGGAGAGAGGGGGCGCACGCAGGGGGCGCGCGAAGCTCGGGGGCGGGGCGGGGCGCGGCGCAGGCTCGGCGCGGGGGCTGGAGCCGCCGCCTAAGCCACAGGCTCCCGGGCCGTGGACCCTCCCGCGGCCCCCGCAGCTGGCGCCGCGGCTGCCGAGCGGCCAGGAACAATGAGGCGCGCGGCGCCGGGATGAGCGCAGTCCCGCGCCGGCCCCGAGACCGAGCCGCCCGCCGCGCCTGCAGCTGCCGCCCGGCGCCGCGCCGCTCTGGCCCCAGGAGAACCCGCAGGCCGGCCGGGACGCGAGTGCAGATCGCCCCGGAGGTGACACGGGGGGCTGCTCCGCAGAGGTGGGAGCGGCTGCTGGCTGGCGCGGGGCCGCTCGCTAGGCGGCCGCAGCCCCCGAGTTCCGTGGCGCGCGTCGAGCGCCCCCGGCCCGGGATCCCTGCTCCAGTGGGCGTCGGAGTGAGTGTGGGAGCGCGTGGCGCGCGCGCCCGAGCAGCTGCCTGAGAATAAAATGTGACACGCACGCCTCTGACTCCAGCGCCGCGCGGCGGGGGAGCGCGGAGCCCCGCGGAGCCGGACGCTTGGAGGCGCGGCATCCGGAGAAGGTTGGTAAGGGAGGGCGCCCGGGTTGCGCGGTGGGGCGACGTCTTTCTCCGTGCAGCCCGAGCCTGTGCGCTGCTCGCTCGGTGGAGTTAGACTCGGCGACTTGGAGCCAGACCTTTGGGGGGTCGGGGAAGGACGTCGAGGGTGGATTGTGGAGAGAAGCAGGAAATTCTAAAGAGGTTGAGCGTACCAGAGGGCTTGTGCTTTCCATGCGGACGCAGTAACGGTGATCTTTTATTTTGCTTCTGAAAGGGAATCGAGATTTGTAAATTGTCTTTCCGGCCCCCCACCGCCATGCAAAATTGCACTTCTTAAATCATAAAGTGTGCTCTATTGCTTACTAGTTTTCAGTAGCTGTAATGTTTAGGGCCAGAAGGGATTTTTTTAGAATCCTAAATACACCGTGCACTGGCACCCGGGAAACTCCAGCTTTTGAGTTGTTTTACTTTGTACCGTGTGCAGAAAGGCTATTTGATGCCTTATTTGAGTACTGAATTTTACATCTGTCTAGCTTGGACTTAGTGGTTCTGGAGAGTTAAGTTAAACTCGTGGTCATAGCATGTGATGTCTCCAAAGCGAGCTGAATAGGTGCGTTTGGAGAAGCTGTGCTTTCCAGGAATTTAAATGAGACTTTTGGAGATTGTCTTCCAGGGCTCTCCCCCCAACCCCGTACCATATTTGTTTTGTCAGGCTGAACTTTCAAAGAGCTGTTTTATAATCCGAGAAGCACTTTGGGAGAAAACTAATGTTTCCTTGTAGACTTATTTTTACCGGTCATGATGAAAATTTGGCGAGCGGCAAACCACATTTGGTCGAAATCTTTGTTTTCTGTGCAGTTGGTGTCTTAACAGCGAAGGAGCTTGCTGATCTTCCATGCCGAGGACTATCAGCTTGGGTGAGGGTATTGTAGGTGGACTTGCCACACATTCTGTGTTTTAAGTACTTTCTGCACATTTTTTAAGTCACATACGGGTTACTTGATAGTTTTTTTTTTTTAATTTTGGCCGAAATATTTTGAAATAAAATTTGTGAAAAATGAAAAATTTCAATAAATTGAAATGCTATATATCATGCTGTGGTTGCAAATTTAGGGTTACTCCTTATTTTAAAAGAAAAATGATGTGTATCCTTGGACCTATTTTTATCCACTCTCCCCCACTGATTTTTCTGAAACTGACAACCAAAATTTTTACACTCGAAAGCTTGCGTTTCTTACTAATGCCATAGAAAAGCTGTTCAGAATGATGAATGGGCATTGTGATCCAAATGAAGAAAAACCTTGTATAATGGGTGAATTGCTTTGAATTTTACAACTACATTAAAAATACAAACAGTGAGATTCTTGGTCCAATTTTTATTGTGACTGATAGAAATTGTAAGATTTTTGTCTTGTTTGATTGTTGCAGCTGATGCTGCTGGGGTTTTGAGCTAAATCTCTTGTAGAGCTAAATCTCTAGTGGAGTTCTGAGCCTCACAATTTAGAGAAGAGAGGGAGACTTGCAGAAGGAGTTCAGAGCAGAGACCATTGTTTGGAGAGTTTATTATAGAGTGCAGATGATCTAGGAAAAATAAATAAAGAAATGAGGATATTTAGATTAGTGGATTTAAAATAGATAAGTTAATATTTGAAACTATATTAATGGATTTTTTTATGCAGAGATGGTCAGTCAGCTATGCTCTGTTTCTGATGAGGATAACTAAGAAGGTAAAGAGTTTCCTCAGTGGACTGGAGATTTAAGTGGTGTCTGGGGAAGGATTTGTGGCCAGCCAGTGAGATTGATTTCATTGGTAAGTGGTTGCTGTGAAATTCCTGTAGATTCTTATTTCTGGAGCATTTTTTTTTTTCAGAGATTCTCCTCTTCCTGACATGATTTAAGTGTGTGGGATTCTGATCTATTATTGCATGCTAACTGAAATTTTATATTCCAGGTTTAGAGTTTATTCAAGCATTTCTCAAGTGCTTAAGTCTCTTAAAATGACAAACTCATTCCAAGGCTTCTCTCTACTGCTTAGTTAGGTAAGTGACAGAGCTCTTTTCAATACCTTGGAGACATATGTCCCTTAAGAAATGCTTAATTAATTTGCAGATTTGGTGCCTCGTTCTTTATACTTCTGAATAAAAATATATTGTACATTATAATAGGTACAGTCTTTTTTTTAATATGCATCTCCTCTTTAACTATACTGTTTTTTCCCTTCCTGGATCTTCTGTTGTATAGTCTTAAATTTTAATTGTTTAAATTAAATGAAGTACTTCATTCCACTTGTTTAAATGTCTCAGCGAAAGATAGTGCTCTCATGATAGGTATATACTAAGTTTTAAGTTTTTTTAAGCACATAAAGTTCTTTAAAAAAGAATTATGAGATGAAATTCACAACTGACTTGAGAGAAGTAATTATATAAAGTCAGATACTAACTTTGGAATCAGGATAGTGCATATATACCTTTACAAAGAATTTTCAATGTTGTTAATAGGTTGATATTAAGGCTAATAATTGTGTGTGCTGTAGAAGATATCAGTTATTAGCAGATAAACATTAAATTTTCAATTTACTATATCTTCCATTTTCCTGAAAACCCTTCTTCCTGTTTGTAAAATGGCTAATTATACTGGATATAGACAGAAGCATCAGAGACACATGAACTCATTATGTTCCTTACCAATTGCCATCCTAATGTGAAATGCTGAGCCCCTCAAACCACAATATTTTTGGAGAACAGTTGCAATTCAAAATGCTTGGAACCCACCTAACCTATGGGTTGAAATGGCAACCAGCCATTTACAGGGTTTGAAATATGAGCCAGGCAGTCCTAATCTTTGCAGGAGCTGGTGGTTTGTTCCAGCTTCAGCATCTGTCCTAGACCTGTCACCTGGTAAAAGCTGGTCCCAACTATTACTGTCTGGCCTGCTATTGCTGTCACTTGGCCACCTGCAGATTCCTAGCTCTCCCACAGTAGAAAGGCCCTCCTGCTCTGGGGGAAGAATTGATCTGTGGATGGAAAACATCAGCGCAATGAACCCCCTTCTGGTTTCTTTTCTATACCCCCTCCTGGTTTCTGCTGCTCTCTGATCTTGTATAGGAAAGAATGCCCAACTCAAGGCATTCTCTAACAAGCTAGAGATCATGAGGGTTGGGTTTGCAATTTTGTGCAGGACTTTCTCAGAGAGGAAAGAATGGAAGAAAGCTCTTGGCCAGCACCCCGAACTACTGCCCATGGGAGGTTGAACACTGAAAGAAGTCTGGGGCTCCTCAGTGCACCATTTCCAGTGCAGTAAAATGAAGGCTTAGATTAAATCCTCTCCAAAGTGTCGTCTACTGCTAGGATTTCACAAAATTCATAATTTTATATTTTGCCATACTATAAATTTTAAGTTAACATACTGGGCAATCCTTCTAAATACCTCGCAGTCCAGAGGAGAGTAGCAATTCAAAGAATAGTCACAGTGACATACTAAACCATACCCTGCCATTTGCTGTGCATAGGTTATCAAAGTATACCATAGCCACAAACCTGGGATGCATTATCACCCCACTTTACAGGTGACTATCTGTGCCTAAAAGGTGAAGTGCCATCCTCAAAAGCGTCATGGTAAGAAAGTGGCAGAGCTGGGATTTGAACCTAGGTTTGTGTGACTCCAAGGTCTGTGCTGCTAGACAGAGCTCCAACATTGTGGAGGTGTGAGAATGCCTCCTGATATGTATCTGGGCCAGAGGATGACTGTGATTGTGAACTTCCATGTCCTCAAACTGTGACCTAACTTTCTGTATCAGGAAGGTTGTATACATGGAAAGGGATAACGGCCAGCCCATGTAGATAGAAAGCCAAACATGCGTTCAGTACAACCTAGAAGCTGAAAGAGACTTTAGCTGCAACTTGAAAATGACCCCTGGAATGGGGACTATCTAGGCAGTCAGAACTAGAATGAAATTCAGGCTTTCATGAAGGGTGTCATAGCTAGTGCAATTTCCAAGGGGAAAAGAAATCAAGCTAAGATTCAAGAAAATTATCCATATGCTGAGTTACTGGATTGATGAAGAGAGCAAGCTTAGAGAAGCAGTCTCTTGGGATATTTAGAAATATATTGGTGAAAGCATTAGAGAATACACAATAAAGAAAAATTCCACACTGTCTTGATTATAAGCCACTGTTTTCAGAAGTTTATAATTCACACATTAAGTTGCACATTAGGCTGCTTCTGGTATTCCAGCCTGAGAGGAAAATGCTTTATTAAATTAAAACCAATTGGTTTTCCATGTTCAAATTATACAGATTTTTCAAATAGAGGTCCTTGAATGTTGGTAATTATTATAGTTTCTAAAATGACTTAGCTTTAAATTAAATTTGGGAAGGGGGAAATCTCTTAGATAATTCAATAACTTTCATTATTCAGAAATAAATTTAAAAAGTAGCTTCATCAAAAGTGTAGTGAGGATTTTTCTGAAATCTATTAGTGTATGCTAAAAACCTCATTTGTACCTCTGACTTTAAATGGGTAGGAAAAAAGTTATTAATATAGGGTTTGTTTTCTAAATGATACAGTTAACCCAATTACAATGTGGAACTATGGGTGCATGATTAAATGAATGACTTTGTTTTTGCTATTAGAAAAGGGATCTTGCCATGTACATTGTATTTTAAAATCAGGAAAAACTGCATTCCATGAGAAATCCCAATATGAAAAAGTGAACTGTGTTTAAAAAGTACACACACACACACACACGCACATACACACACACAAATATACACATCACAAATGTAAGAGGCACAAATCCCTGCATTAATGTTTTTACATTAGCACTAAGAGTGGGAACATGAATTGGTATACTGAAACATACAATATTGGGATTCACAACTATGAAATAACAAAATCAGGATTAGAAACCTGACCTTCTGACTGAGAGAAGAAAATTCTCTGAGAACTGCGTGTTCCAAATTCAGTGCACTTGTAGAAAGATATCAAAAAGTTTAGGGATAAACTTTACTATTAATTTATTATAAATAAGGGCCTCCCTGGTGGCACAAGGGGTTATGCACAGCACTATGAAGCTGTCCGCAGCCATTGCAGCACTAGTTCGATTCCTAGCCAGGGAGCTACCCATGTGGTGCAGAGGATCTCTCCTGACTCGCCCGCTGCTCCTCTTAGCAGTGTATTTCAGTCAGTCTGCCTGTTCTGCTCCCCACTCTGTCTCTGGTGAGTCCTCTCAGCCCCCACACCTCTGGCCTGTACCCCAGCTTCTGTATGCATAAATAAATAAAAAAAATCTTTTAAAAATTTTATTACAAACAGACTGTATGTGAGAAAACACTTTTATTCATGTGTGTATATGTATATGACTGTTATTTGTAAGTGTTCTTTGTAACAACAGCATCTTCCAGGCACCTTTAATGGTGAAATGTTTTTGATTGTTGAGCTAACTCCTGAGGGAGGTCTGGCAGTGACTGATGACTGGAGACCTGTGTGTATCAGTTACTGGTGGGAATGAGCCATTTTAGGTGTTTCAGTTAAACCTGAAGTTGGCCATATCGGATGGGTTTGGCCATATCAGTTTCTCTCCTGAAGAACAGATTACTATTTGAAGCTACCCTGAGTTGTAACGACCCTTAATCCCTTTAAATTTTAGGTAAAATAGTTAAGACAAAAAGCTTAAGAGTTTTATTTTTAAAAATACTACACCCTCTGTTTCCAAAGTAATTTTTGAGCAATTTATATATAAATAAAAAGTTGACAAGTACATGATTTACTTTCATATTATTCTATGTCTATACATGTATAAAATGTGCATACAATGTTTTTATAGATACATAGTTTCTGTTTTTCAAAGGACTATTCCTCCCCCAACCTTTGATTCACAGTGTAGTTATGAACTGTATTCCTCTGGCCTGTATTCAAAATTAGTAGCTGGGAGAGTTGAACTAATTAGGTAATTTGCCTGGCTTAATTCTTGGTACTTTATAATAACATTCAGAGAGTGTCATTAAATAGATTACTTCATTAACTATTTGAGGTGGGAGCATTTCAGAAATTGACTTGATAGTAATAGGGAAATGTCTTTGAGGTGTGATTATACCTGATTGTTTAAACATAACATGATTGTTTAAACTCAAGTATTTCTATTCTTGCCTCACATATGTACTTTTCTACTATGTGATTAAAATATGTCATTCTCTATTATAATCATACGTAAATAATATCCCACCTATCACTACTAGATGGAGACACAAAAAGAGTAAATTCTTTAGTTTGGGATTTTTTCCCCCCAGTATTTTCATGACTGGTAAGCATAGTATTAGATGTAAAACCAGAAGTGGGTGAAAGAAAGTTTAGTTTTGCTATTTGTTGGATACTGCAGCTCTTCCTTTCAGTTTACCACAACCTTAGGATCAAAAATAAATTTCAAAATGTAGTAAAAGCTACATTTAGAATACATTGTTTTCTAAATCTTGAAGAATTTTTAATATATTTCAGTTTATTGAAAATAAAGCTGAACATATAACACATAGAAAAATGCTACAAATGAAATTTTCTTTGCTAACTGAATGTAACATTATTTGGTAACTTGCAATCCCTGAGTTGTGAATTTGGAATTCTTTAATATTTCAAGTAAAAGCTGGTAGATGGAAAATTCTATGAGATATTTATGTAATATACTTTTACTGTCTTAGGACATGTTTTTTAAAGAATTGTAGGAAAAAATTCAGCAGGATGGACGATTAAAGTCATATTGATTCTCTAGAATTTTTGTTCTCGTAAAGAAATGTAACAGTGCAATTTGGAATAAGAGCTAAAAACTAAAAAAAAAAAATCTAAAAGCTCCATCAAGATATCATTATCTGTCCCGCCCTGGGGATACGCACTGACCAACTTTGAGAAAGTTTTCCACCATACCAAAAACTGAAGTTCAAAGGAATATAAAGAAGAAATAAAACGATATCTTAAAATTTAATAGAAAGATAGAAAAAATGGAAAGGAGATTTAGAGAATCAAAAGGAAAACAGGCATATTGCTTCTTAAA